CCTCTTCAAACTTCTTAATAAGTACCATCCATCATAACTCCTTATAATTAAATGTAAGTCCAAGTCCAAATATGCTTTCGTTCATTCGTTCATTCATTCATTCATTCATTCATTCATTCATTTATTCATTCATTCATTCTTTCATTCATTCTTTCTTTTTTCTATTCAATTCTTCATTCATTTATCCATCAAAGAACCAGCCAAATTTTCAGTCAATCAATCCGTCAATCAATCAATCGGTCAATCAATCAATCAATCAACCAACTAACCAATTAATTGTTCAGCTGGAAATGTTACAACCAATATTGAAAGATGAAGAAAAGACATTAACAATAGCAACAACAACATCAACAACAACAGCAACAACAACATCATCAATATCAACAACAACAACAGCAACAACATCATCAACAACATCAACCCCGACAATAGTTAATAGAAAACGTATCAAAATTTCATCAACTAAATCAACACAGTCGGCAAAACTAAGAAAAAAAACCCCACCAGCCCGTAGAAAAAACAACAAAAACAACAAGAACAATAATAATAATAACAACAATAATAATAACAATAATAATACTACTAATAATAGCGATAATACAAAAAACATAGATGCGTTAGATCAAAATCAAATAATTGTTTTATCGTTAATGTCCACGTCATCAATAATAACAACAGCATCATCATCAACAACAACAACAACAACAACAACAACAATATCAACAACCTCAACAACAACAACATCACAAAATAACAATTTCTTACAACAACAATTACACCAACTTCCGTCACCAGCAACGCCATCAACAACAACGACGACAACGACACCCAAATCGCAAAACAACAACAACAACAATAACAACAGCAGCAACAAAAACATCAACAACAGCAACAACAACAGCAACAAAAACATCATCAACATCAACAACAGCATCAAAATTGTTGGCGGTGAAATTAGAAACTTGACTGTCTTCAAACAACGACAACAACAACAACCGCGCGTCACCAAACTTGTCACCAGTATCATTCTTGTCTATGTATTCTGCTGGCTACCGTTCTATGCTCTGCAGGTTGATTGGTTGGTTGGTTTGATTGGTCAATCGTTGGTTGGTTGTTTGATTGGTTGTTTGATCGGTTGGTTGGTTGGTTGGTTGGTTGGTTGATTGGCTGGTTGGCTGGTTGGTTTTTTTTTGATTGTTTAGTAGATCAGTTAATCAATAAATCATGTAAACAAACCTCCACAAATACCCAAAAATACCGACCTGTACCCACAAACTACCACAAATATCGGCAAAAAACCGAACAAAAACCGACAAACACCGACTTAAATACCGACCCAGATATACCTGGTCAGTGAGATACCGACCAATTACTTGCACATCATCGTCCCCTTCTACCATCTCTTCACCACACTGACCTACACGAATAGCGCCATCAACCCAATCCTCTACCTCTTCACCAACAAAAACTTCAGAAACAACTTCAAAGACGTCGTCAGGTGCAACAACAACAACAACAACAACAATAATAATAATAATAACAACGTGGTCGGGGCAAGTTTCAGGAGCGCGAGGTATGGGCCTCAGGTCAAAGTCACTGGATCGAGAAAAAACAACAACAACAACAACAACAATAACAACGATAATAAATAATGATATTCCAGGCAACAACAACAACGACATGTTTCTTAATGAAATGTATATATGTATGTATGTACTGTACAATGTATGTATGATCGCATTACGAAATGTACATATGTATATACATACATATGTACATACAATGTATGTATGTATGTATGTATGTAGTTTGTATAGCGAAATGTATCAATATATACGTATAGTATCAAGTTATTGTTTGCGCACTAATAAATAATATTCGTCTCCGAACCGTTGAAATGTATGCTACATGATCAAATTTTCTTAAAGAACATACAATGCAAACATTTAAAAATGATTCTCATCACTTAATGGAATTAACTTATGATGCATTGTAACTTATTTGAAATCATTTGAAAGCTTTCGAGCCAAATTTCGTTAGAAAATCTAAAAATGTGTTTGTCTCTGCTTGTAGTGCGATCCATCCACATAATTTTCATACGATGTTCTATAATCCTTAGGAACCCAATATGGAAAATTCTAATACACCAATTCCATCACAGACAGAACACAACTTTAGGTCGGATTCTTACGATTCATTAGCGTTAGAAACTTTGAAACTTTTCTTTTTCTGTATCTAACTTTCTGTCGGTAGGCACAAATGTCATTGAATTCTAATTCTAAATAACACGAATACATCTTATGGAACAATTATTTAAATTCGGATGAAAATACGTTTTTGTGTATGGGTTTTTCATGTCCGTGCACAATCTAAATACATTCCAAAATAGTTTACTGATTTTTTTTTATGTTCAGAGAACAATTTATGAAAGTGTGTATTTCAGAATCTTTACAAAGTTTGATGAATAAATTTTTAATTTCAACACGTCTCATCCATGGTTATATTTCGGATACATGGAAGACATCCATGGTTTTATCCGATCCGACCTCATAAGGCAGCTGTGTCTTACTGACTTGTTGTACAACTATTTTGATTTTGATCTTGGTTTTCTTCTTATCTCTGTAACCGTTTTTCTTCTGTTGTTCTTAATAATTCTACTTCTAACTCCTCTACCCTCTTCTACTTATTTTATACTCTATACTTTTGAACTACCTCGTATTATTAATAACTTTTCTTTCACGAGTCAACTATATACTGATGATTCTTATCTTTATACTTTTTTTCATCCTTCTAATCTCAATGGTGTTCTTCATAATCTCTCTCTATGTCTTTCTTCAGTTATCGCTTGGTCTGACCCTAGTCCCTTTCTTTTCTCATATATCTCCATATCTTGTTCTCTCGCACTGGCTACCTATAAAATATAGAATAATTTTTAAAATTTGCACATTTATATATAAGTCTCAATCTAAATTATTTCCCAAGTACTTATCAGATATATAATTGAACCGGTTTACGATCGTCTTTTTGTTCTCGATTCTTCTTAACTCGTGTTAAACACTCCTTTGTTAAATCTGCATTTGCTTTTTTGGCCCTTTTCTCTGGAACTCTCTACCTCCTTCTCTGACTACCTTTTCATCACTCACGAAGTTCAGAGCGGATCTCAAGACCCATCTGTTTGTGAAATTCATTAGAGAGCGCTATTGAACATCGCGGAAATAGCGCTTTATAAACTAATTCATAAATTGATTGATTGATTGAAATTTAAAAATAAAAAAACAGAACGTGTCTTATTTTTAAAATTTAAATACCTTCACACAAACTAAAAGTTAATTTAATTCAGATTTGCCACGAATCTCTCGATACGTAAAATTAAAATGTAATCTTTTAAAGCCAAAGTTCATTTTTTAAAATTAAAACTTTCAAATTAAAAAAATTTTTGAAAAAATGTGGGATGCCATTGTCGTCACTTGCTCCGACCATAAGTTTGCCAAAGTTTTTGAGACAGGTAAGCTCCAACCCAGATTCATTCTTGACTCATGTTCTTGATTTTAACATTACTTTATTTATATTTTATTACCATTAGAATTTTTTTTAAAGTTTTTTAATTAGTTGATTTAAATACAATATTTTAATTTCGTGAATAAAAATTTAAAAAAACTTAAATTTATAAATTGTTAATCACTTTCACCATTTCATCTTCTTCTGATTTAAATTTGAAATTTAACAAAATAAAATCAATTATGAATAAATAACTTAATAAAATATATATTAAAATTTTATAATATTTAATTTTATATATTATATTATAATTATATATAATATTTAAAATTCTACTTATTAAATAGAATTGAACTTGAGAAAATCATTGGGATTTATTCCTAGAGAAACTATACTATTAGCAGTCGATGACCCTAAACTAAAAATAGGCAGTGGTGGGGCCACTCTGAATGCCCTTCTTGTATTAGCTGAACATTTGTCCGCAATTTCTGGTTACTTGGTAAGAACATTATTTTTTATTGATAAAAAAAATTTCAAATATTTAAAAGTTGATTTAATTTATTTTCTATTGATTTACTCTTTAAGTATATTTTTCTTTATAAATCAATGAAAATAAAATAATTAACACACAGGTTCTGAATGCAGACGTGTTATATGATAAGAAAATACTTCTAATACATTCCGTGAGTAAAGTTATCATCATTGAATTAAAATATTTATTTTAATAATTACTGTTAATTATAAAAATAATATTTTTCTAAAGGGTCGACCTTTAATTTATGAGCCCTGTGGTCCCCTGATGATAAGCATGCCCCTTCCAACTGACCAATCACATTGCTTCTATTTAAAACATCTTGATTATGTCATACAGCTGATGACAAATAAAGTAAGTTAGAGATGTGTGTTTGTTAATTTGTTCATTCATTCATTCATTTATTCATTCATTTATAGTCAATTTTAAAAATTTTCCATTTGAATATATGACCTCTAGCTTGATCAATTTTTGCATTCTAAGTAAAATCTTTATCTTCAACCAACTAAAAAACTAAGATCTCAGTCAGCCGGTCAATCAATTAATCAATTAACCATTCATACATTCAATCAGTTATTCATTCATTCAATCAATCAATCAATCAATCAATCAATCAATCAATCATTCATTCATTCATTAATTCATTCAACCAACTAACCAACCTGTTACTTTCATAATTTCAAGGGCTTGCTTTAAACCGTTTACACTTCACTGTAATATTTTTAAAAACAATAATAAATATTTCACTACTACTACTACTAATAATAATAATTGTAATAACAATAATTATTATTAACATAATTTATTATAATTAGGTGGCCGTAAACTCGCCGCCTGGTGTTTGGATCTGCAGTTCGGACATGTTTCTCACTATCGATGATTGTCTTGGTAAGTAAACATAATTATTATTATCATTATTATTATTATTATTAATAATATTATTATTATTATTTTTATTATTATAGATGGGGCCAGGCTGGCAGACGTTGATGCCTGTCTGTTGATGACTCCTGCCGACTTGAACTACTCTAAGGAACATGGCGTGTGTCTGTGGGATGCAGAGGTTGTGGGACGTAATTGTCTATTTGTTCGTTCGTTTGTTCGTTCGTTTGTTTATTTGTTTGTTCGTTTGTTCGTTTTTTCATTCTTTCATTCGTTCATACAATGTGGAAATGTAATAATAATTGTTAAATCTTATTACCGTTACCACTACAGACCCGCCACCTGTTGAACATCTTCTACAAGTGTCGGGACGCTGAAACTATTGAGAAATGCAAATTGAACGCCGACCAAGTGGCACTGGTCAGTCGGATGACCAGCTAAACTAATTAATAATTAGTTAATTTTCTAATGCTAGCTTTATGCAAATTAGTTAGCAAGCCTTCATTAACATAATCTATGCAAAGTCGGTTACGAACGCAGTTGTGGTTATCATTTTAGTTTTGCTGTTGCTATTGATGTCAGTTTTTGTTGCTCTCATCATTATATATTTTGATTATTAGCTCTATTTATGTAATTGGGTCATGTAAATATTATCATAATTTATGTATTTAGGTCAGCGGGGTGGTCTATTTGAGCGTGCAGGTGGCCAACACGCTGCTGACTCTACACACGAAGCAGCCAATAAATGCCTGCACCTATCTGGGCTATGATAGTGGCATTAAACCCATACAGGTCTGTTGATCGGTCGGTTGGTCGGTTGGCTGGCTGGCTGGCTTCTCATTGGCTGGTTGATTGTGATTGTGATTGGTTGGTTGGTTAAATGTGGTTGGCTGGTTGGCATCGGTTACATTTCGACTTGGTACTTTTAAGACGGAAAGAAAGATGAATTAGTGAATAATAACGTTACTATCAGTCATCCGTATGCAACGAAAACAATCAATCAGTCGGCTAATTTTTTAGTCAAACAAACCAACAAACCAATTAATCATTCATTCATTCCTTCATTCATTCATTCATTCCTACATTCATTCATTCATTCCTTCATTCATTCATTCATTCAACCAACCAATCAAACAGCTCTCGTTATTCTTCGACTTCCTCCTCGCCATGTGCCCCAACTACGGAGAATCAGATTTTATAAACGGCGGAATTTTTGGCGGGAGAAATGATGATGATGATGGTGATAAAGATGGTGGGGAAGATGATGGCGGTGGTGAAGATGGTGGTGATGAATTTAGTGACAACAAAGATCGTAAATGTAAGAAAATGGTGAAGAACGATGATGGGAGATGTGAGAAAACTTCAGAAAATGTGGCGATGAGTGGCGGGAAAAAAATTGGCGGGAGAAGAAATGGCGGGAAAACTCGTAATAAAGTGACGTCGTCCGATTACATTCCAATTGTTAGGAGGCTTGTCTACAAGCATCTGAGCAGATTCAAGTGTAGTACCGGTTGGTAGGAATGACGATGACGACGATGATGTAAATTAATATTAATCACGTACACATGTACACACGCACACACGCACACGCACACACTTCCCTGCCACACTTGAACAGCGCTAGTGGCAGGGAAGCACAACTATCTTCACAACAACAACAACTTCCTCTGCGACCTTCTCCAAACATCTAGGACATCTTTATCATCATCATCACCACCACCATCATCATCATCACCATCATCATCACCACCACCATCATCATCATCACCAACAACAACACAATCGTCATCATCGTCGTCGTCGTCACTTTCAACGAATCTTTCACTCAGTAACATCTGTCACTCGTACATTGATGTTAGTTTTTTGTCATTGTATATTTATTATTGCCATTATCGATAATGAATAATTAATTAATTAGGGCAAATTTTTTGTTTTCTAAAAATAGCCAAGAGCTGTGATTGGTCGGGAATCTGTCCTAATTAACTGCGCCCTCATTGGTCCGGTTGAAGTCGGCTCTAACTGCCTTATTTATGATTGTTGGTTAGATGGCGAGAAGATTAAAATCGGAAATGGGTGCTTCCTGAACGGCATTCACGTGACTTTGAAGAAGGATGATAGTGATGATCGGGAAGTGAGTGGAGTTGATGATGATGATAATGATGTGACGTCATCTTGAAAAATTTTTTTAAATTTCCGTGCAGTTCCACATGAATGACAACACGTCCATCATAAAAATCTACGAAACTCTGAAAGCATATAAACGTCATGATGACGACGACGAAGATGATGATGATGACGACGATGATGGTGGTGGTAGTGATAATGATCTTTCCTCTGCTGTTACTACTACTACTACTACTACTGAGGCTACTACTGCTGCTGCTACTGCTGCTGCTACTGCTGCTGTTAAAACTGTCGTTAATAATAGGTGGACAAAGAATAGAACCGTTATCAAAATTGATGATCATGTTGGTATATATGATGTTGAAGATGATGATGACGATGATGATGACGATGACGATGATGATGACGATGATGATGACGATGATGATGATGATGACGATGATGATGATGATAATTATTTCTCTTTAGACTTCCTCCTTCTTTGTGTACCGAACTGACCTACACGATGCTAACGACGACGACGATGATGATGATGATGACTTCATCATCACACAAAAACCGGAAACTAAGTTAACGTTGATGATGACGATGATGATGATAGTAGTTATTCTTATTGTTGTTGTTGTTGTTGTTGTTGTTGTTGTTGTTGTTGTTGTTGTTGTTGTTGTTGTTGTTGTTGTGATCGTCCATACTTTTGCAGGCCAATGCACTTACTGCACGAACACTTGCAAGCTGTTGATGCAGCTGAAATGATGAAGAAGAAAAAGTGATTATTATTATTATTTATTATTATTATTATTATTATCGTTATAACTTGTCATCATTAACATAATTTATTCAGACTGACGTATTATAGAATATGCGCCGAGCTAATTGGCAGCCACCTGTTGAACAACCGACCAATCAAACTGCGGGGCTGGTTTAGAATGGCCTGCCTCCAGGGCAGAGAACCATTTCTATTGGACGTCTTAGATAAAAGTAGGTCAATGCCACCACCACCATTATTCTCACAATCATCATCATCATCTTCACAATCATCATCATTATCTTCACAATCATCATCACAATCTTCAAAATCATCATCACAATCTTTACAATCATCATCATCATCTTCTTCTTCACAATCATCATCATCACTACAGTCGCCATTAAAAATAGCAACGACAGTGGTTTGTGCGCGCGTGTTTTGGCGAGTGTCGCCAATCTTTTAGCCGAAATGTGCTCGAAGCAAAGTTGCTGCTGTGGTGGTGGTGGTTGTGGTGTTGGCTGTTGTGGTGGGGGAGGAAGTGTTCTGAGGTCTGGCCCCTCCCACAATAAATTATGGAAGAGGGCCTTCGAAGCTTTAGATGTTAGTGTGTATTAGGATTGTTGCCGATGCTGCTGCTGATGATGATGATAATGAGGAAGGTGGTGCTGGTGATGATTGTTGAGATGACGATGATGATGATGATGATGAAGACGATGAAGATGAAGATGATGACGATGATGATGATGATGACTGTGACGTGACTAGCAACAAAACTCATTCAATATCCAATTACATCTTTTGTTCACCAAACTAATATATATATTTATGATCTTCTGTCGACGTCATTGTATCTATTTATAATCTTTTGTTGACCCAATTAAGAGCGGGAATGTAGGTCAGGGCGTCAAACGTCTGCGACTTCAAAGAACGAAGTGGCTTTCTAATAAAAATTATATCATGAGGTTATGATGATGATGATTGGGATGGTGGTGATGATGGTGATGATTGGGATGGTGATGATGATGATGATAATGATGACGACAATGATGATGATGGTGATGATTTTAGGGCTTCAAGACATTACGAAGGAGCATGCCAGGTTCTTATAAGGAGCACCGTCCGGACTGCTCTCAAGTTCATCAATCTTCCGAAAGCTCCTTCTCCACCCACCAATCTACCTGCGATTTCAAAATGGCTGACCTGTCGCAGTCCAGCCCGTATCGACCTGTGCGGTGGTTGGTCAGACACTCCACCAATCACGTACGAGATGGGAGGAGCCGTTCTCAACGCTGCAATCTCTATCGATGGAACGGTGCGTTTTAATCGGACGGTGGCCTTTTCAATTGCCGGTGCTTTATTTTGATTGGATGGTGATTTAATTTGACTAGATGGTGTTCCATTTTGATTGGATGATGGCTTGATTACTTAATTTTGATTGGGTGATGGTGGTGTTTCAACAAATATGATTGGTTTATATTAAAAACATCAATTCTTTAATTTTTTCATCAGAAACCAATTGGAACGCAGATTAGGAGAATTGAAAGGTAGAACGATGATCATATTGATAACGACTACGTACACACACACTCACACATACACACATACATACATACACACACATACACACATACATACACACACATACACACACACACACACATACATACATACAACATACACACAAACAAACATACATATATACAAATTATAGTCTGGAGATAGTAATACATTTAGAAAGCGGAGTCACTTTGTATGGCAGAGATATTGATTTCATGAAAGATTACAATCAACCGTTTGCTGAAGGTGCTGATAAAGATGACGTTTCATTCATTCATTTGTTTGTTTGTTCATTCATTCATTCATTCATTTATTCATTTGTTTGTTCGTTCGTTCGTTTGTTCATAGTTTATTTGTTCATCCAATCGTTCGTTTGTTGTATTTACATAGGTGTTCTTTTAATCCGTTTTTTTACATGATACTGCCATCGTTCATTCATTCATTCATCTTTTCATTCATTCATTTATTCATTCAATCAATCATTCATTCATTCATTCATCCATTCATTTATTCATCCAACCATCCAAACGTTTTCAACAAGGCTCTCTCATCAAATGTTGCCTCATTGTTTCCGGATGCATCGACTACTCGAATAATAATAGTAATAATAATAATAATAATAATAATAATAATAATAATAATAATAATAATGACAATGGTGGTGATGATGATCCTCTGAGAAAACAACTAAAAGTGAAGTTAAATTCTGGCATTGAGATGAAAGTATGGTCAAATTTGCCGCAGGGTTCGGGTCGGTTAATGGTGATTGGTGGAATTTTTCATTTTTTCGTTTGTTCGTTCGTTCGTTTGTTCGTTCGTTTGTTTGTTCATTCATTTATTAATAAATCCATTTATATATTTATTTAGTCTTCTATTCATCCATCCATTAGTTTATCAACCCATCTTTTGTCTGCCTATCTATCCATAAACTCATTTATTCATTCTTTTATTCATTCATTCACTCACTCGTTTATTGATTCACTCATTCATTAATTCACTCACTCATTCATTCCTTCATTCATCGATGAATTCAGGATTGGGAACCAGTAGCATATTAGCGGGCGTTGTGATTTCCGCATTATGGAAGATAATGGGACATAATGACGAAGACGATGATGATGATGATGGTGATCAACAACATCATCATCATCGCCATCATCATCATCATCATCGGTCACTCATTCACGCCGTTCGTTTTGATGATACTGCTGGTTGCGTGCTGGTTATTGTGGTTTAGATGGTGATGATGATGGTGATGATAGTGATTATGATGACGATATTCATAATAATAAAAATAATAATAATCATCACCATCATCATCATCATAAGGTTCTCTGCGTGGAGCAGCTGTTAACAACTGGCGGGGGCTGGCAAGATCAAGTCGGCGGCCTATGCGGTGGCATAAAACTGGGTCACTCGAATCTAGGTCAGCCAATCGAAGTCAAGGTCAAGAGGCTGGAGGTCAGCGAGGCCATTTTGAGATCGTTCAATGAACGTCTGCTTCTGGTTTATACCGGGCAAACAAGATTGGCCAAAAATCTTTTGCAGGTTATTTATCACTAAATTCCTATTTTCAACTCTGTCAACTTCATCATCATCACTGTCACCATCATCATCATCACTGCCATCATCATCATCATCAGAACGTGATACGTAGTTGGTACGCTAGGGACGATGACGTCATGATGACCTTCAATGACCTCAAGAAACTGGCCTATGAAGGGAAAGATGCTTTCATGCGTGGTAAAGTTATTTATAGTTGTTGTTGTTGTTGCTATAGATAGATTTTAATTAACATAATTCATACGTAATCGATTGATTAATTGACTAATTGTCAACCAATTAACTCGTTCATTCTCTCGACCAATGCATCCATCCATCCGTGTAAAAACAAAGGCAACCTGGAACGGCTGGGTGAGACCATGACGAAATACTGGCAGCTGAAGAAATCCCTGGCGCCCGGAAGCGAACCTCGAGTGGTGACGTCACTGATCGAAGCCTTACGTCATCGTTGCTATGGTTACTCGCTGGCCGGGGCGGGAGGGGGCGGATTCCTCTACCTACTGACCAGGCAAGCCAACGATAGAGAGAACGTGCAAAAGATATTGGACGAATTAAAGGTAGGTAATTTATTGTTTGGTTGAACAGGTCCGTTCCTTCGGTTCTTCGTTTAAGTTTCCTGACGAGTTTATAATCTCAAAATATTTTGAGAAACGTATCAAGAGTTCAACATGAATTAACATTTCCTTCTTCGACAGGTGTCAGGTGAAGCAGTAATTTACAACGCGCAGGTCGACACGGAAGGTCTGCGATTCGACGAACCCCTAACTTACTAACCAATCAACTTACTAACATCTAGCTCATTCATATTCATGAGAAGCCTACCTAATTATAATAATTTCCCCCATGACCAACCATGATCACAAAAATTTGCCCGTTAATATGCACGGTGCCTCGTTAATAATCACATATCTATGGTCATCACGACCAATGAGGTCGATGATTACCGGCTCATCAATATTCATGAGATGCCTAATTATCATAATCCATATTATGCATTACATGGACAACTTTTTTGGCTTTTAACATTTTTTTCATTAATTTGATTGTTGCATTCCATTTCAAATATTTAAATGTCATCATCATCGCCATCACCATCATTATAACAAACAAACCAATTAATCAATCGATCAACCAATCAATCAACCAATCAATCAATCGACCAATTAATCAATCAACCAATTAATCAATCGATCGATCAGCCAACTTTTTTGCAATTGACCAAGTGATTTAGTTACTTTAAAGTAGATATAACTTAACAGTAGTGAACAGAAGAACTGTAAATAAATCGATTTCAATCGACCAACCAATCAATCAATCAACCAATCAATAAACTGTTCAGTCAGTTAGCTAAACCGATCAACAGACCAACCAACAAATGAATATATAAAAGCTAACGAGCAACCAATAAAAAAATTGCGAATTTTATCAAAACACAATCCACTAACTACAAACAAGTAGTTATGTAAAACTTTAAAAAATCGACTCGCTAGAAAGTCAATCAGTAAGCTAAACAGTTAACCAACCAATTAAATCAATCAATCAATTGATTAATTAACTAAACTGACCGACAGATAAATGACAGACAGACAGACAGACAAACAAATAAAAGTTCAACCAACAAATCAATTAATAAAAGTCCAATCAATTAAGTAAATAAGTTATAAATCGATCAATCAATTAGCTGATTGACTGATCGTAAAATGTCCCCAGCTTCCTAGACGACTACTCTTCGTCGATTAGGATTTCTTCGACTTCGAGTAAAAATTCCACTGTCTCTTCTTCAAAGTTCTCAACATGACTGTCTAGTTCGTCTGTGTCTATATCTGTGTGTGTGTGTGTTTGTTTGTTTGTGTGCGTGTTTACTTGTTTGTCTTTCGATTATTCATTCATTCTTTTATTCATCATCCGTTCGTTTATTTATAGGTAGGTAAATAAGGTTACATCAACCAAAAACCAGAAGAATTATCTGGAATCAATCAACCAGCCGAGCAACCAACCTGTCCAATCAATCAACCAAGCAAAGCAATCCATCCACTCAATCAACCACTCAACCAATCAATCAATCCATCCATCCAATCCATGCACTGAACCAACCTCTTCTCAATTGCAACCTCCTCTTCTTCTCATCCTCAAACTTCTCCACACACTTGCTCCTCCACAGGTTGAATTCAGAAAGTTGTTTGTTCCTTTTGTCTATCTGCTCCTGTTTGTATGTGTGCGTGTGTGTGTTTGTATGTGTGTTTGTATGTGTGTGTTTGTGCCGGCCAAGCAACCAATCAACCAACCAATCAACCACCACAATCAACCAACTCACCAATCAGCGACGAACAATCAACCAATCAATTCAACCTACCAATCAACCCACCAATCAAACCACCAACCAATCAGCGACGAACGATCAACCTACCTTGGAGGCCTTGGTCTCCCTCTTCTTATCTTCAATACTGAACTGTATGTTATACTTTTTCATGTTCTTCTTCAGATCCTGTCATCATCATCGTCATCATCATCATCATCATCATCATCGTCATCATCATCACCGACGTCGCCAACGTCATCATCATCAAGATCACACCATCAACTTATCAATCAGTCAATTAATCAGTAACCAATCACACGGGCTCAAACAAATTAACGATCAGCACTAACACCACTAACAAACCAACAAAACAATCAATCAATCAACAATAATAATTATAATTATCATCACCAATCATCATCACCATCATCATCATCATGACCTTGATTTGTTCGCCACTCAGCAGTGATGGGGGTCTAGGCCTCCAGAGTAGCTGGCAGTAGCGATCAATCGTCTGCTTGTGCAAAATTTTGCCCTGCCATCCATTTTAAAAAAAGAAATCATTTTGTTATTTAAATAATATATTAATTAAAATAATTTATTAATTAAAATAATTTATTAATTTAATAATTCATTAATTTAAATAATTAATTTATTAAGTAAAAATAGCAAATCTAAAAATAGGTTTATCAGGGATTCCCCATCCGGCGACCACAATTCGGCTTAAGCAACGACCAATAACAATCCCGAAAATGGCCTTTAAACACTAACTTATTCGGTGTAAATAATACTAAAAATGAATCAACAAACGAACGAATAAATGAATGAGCGAATGAATGAGTGGATGAACGAAAGAATGAGCGAGAGAACGAACAGTTGAATGAGTGAGTGAATAAAAATATATTCTAAAAATAGAAAACCTGAAAATTCCAAATCCAGAATGCGTTATCTACCTTGTGGCCCCACCATGAAACGCCTGTGGCAACGTACCTTCCTGTGTTTGTTTGTGTGTTTGTGTGTGTGATTCTGTGTTTGTGTGTGTGTGTTCCTGTCTTTGTTTTCGTTCATTCATTATTTCATTCATTCGTTTACCAATTACTTCATTCAGCTATTTGTTTGTTTCAGCCAACCAATCACACAGAACCAGCCAGCCAGCCAACCAATCACACGAAACCAACCAGCCAGCCAACCAATCACACGAAACCAACCAGCCAACCAATCACATGAAACCAACCAGTTGGATCCCACTCGACATCTGTGGCCATGAAATGCTCGGCCTGAGTCATAACCGTCATATCTTGCGTGTCAACGAACTCTAACACGCCATTCATGCTAATTGAAAAATTATTTTTTATTCATTCATTTATTCATTAATTCATTCATTTATTCATTCATTCACTCACCTCCTCAATCCAGCCAGTACGATGAACTGACCATTAGGCGACCAGAACAAATGATTCACTGATTTCTTCTCAAAAGTCTCTGCAAATGAATGAATGATTGAACAAAAAAAAAATGAATGATTAAATGAGATAATGAAGGAATAAATGATTGAATTAATGAGTGAGTGAATGAATGAATGAAAAAATCGTTATCATCATCATCCAAACCTACTTATGCATTCAACAACTCCCATTGGCTTAACGTTATAAAAGGAGACGGCTGTCCTTGGTGCATCTCCGTGTATGATGCAGAACTTGCTTCCTATTGGCTCCCAGGCAAATGCGGAAATGGTATCTGCAATTTCATTGGTCAGTATGGTGAGTGATGATTAGTAATTGGTTGGCGATCAATTGAATGATTGAACAAATAAACAAATGAACTCAATTTATTCAACTTCTATCTATTAATATTATAATGATTTCTATTTGCCAAGCTGGTTTGAGTGCAGTTGCATTTGAAAATTGAACTATATAAATATATTTGATTGATTGATGAATAAACAAACGAATGAATGAATGAATGAACAAACGAATGAATAAATTAATTAAAGTAAAAAAATACCTTTAACATCAACAGTGTCGACTGGTATTTCTTTCTCTCGGATTCTGAAAATGTTGAAGTTGTGGAAGATACCCTGCAAATTTAGAAAATAAGAAAGTAAGTGCATGTGTGTCACAAACCAATCAATCAATCAATCAATTAAATCAATTAAATCAATCAATCAATCAACCAATCAATCAATCAACCTGATATTTTACAGTTTCCTTCTCTTCCTTCTTCGATTTGTACCTATCGACCTGAGATTTTGAAGTAAAAAAAATTACATAAAATCTTACCATCACTGACTGATAACAAACTAAACAACTCCCCTGTAGAAAAACGAAACCCAAAAAACCCATGCCAGCTTAAAAACTGAAACCAGCAACAAACAAAAACCCCTTAAACCACAAATTCCTAAACCCAAAATCCCAAACTTCGAACCTTGACACACAAATAAGCACCGGATTTCTGCCAATGCATTCGACAGTCTGCCACTGTGAAGAGATTTTTGGCACAGAGGGTATTGTAAGAGGGCACGTCGACCAGTGTGACCCTGGCGGGGGTGTCGCGTTCCTCGCTGGTCCAGTAGGCCAGGATGCTGTCCGTCGGAGACCACGAAAAGTCCCTGAAGATTAAGGATATCAGGACGATGATGAAGATGGCAAAGAAAATGGGATGAGATTCTGATGAAATTGATGATGAAGATGGAGGTGACTGATTGTGAGGGTTGGGAAGATGGTGATAATGTTGAAGATGATATAAACGAATCTTGTGAAGATGATGACGACGACGACGATGGTGACGTCAAAAGAATACAGACAGACCTCAACCCCTTGATTTTGACACTCTTCTTCTCCAACAGACCAAATGACTGAAATGTGAAAGTTACATATAAGACGGCCATTTAAAATAAAATCACCATCATCAAAGTCATCATCAACATTAAACTTATCATCATTACAATAGCAATCATCATCATCTTCTTCTTTACAATCATCATCGTCATCACACCCAACAACAACAACAACATCAACTACAACAAATAAACTGACCGGTGTCTCATATATACTCAGTGTATCAGTGGACATCCTAGCAAAGTATCTCCCATCAAAACTCCACCTACCCAGAGAAAAAGATAAAATAAAAATTACACCAAAAACTAATATAACCTAAAAATAGAGACAAAAAGTAGGTCAACCCCACTTGAAAATAGGCCAGGGCGTGGGGCTATCACAGTGAAATGCCCTTTTTTTCTGACCAGTTCTAATGTCCCAGACGATGATGGCCTGTGGCTCGTCCTTCGTGTCCGCCAGTGACGAATACGTCACCAAGTACCTGAGTGTGTGAGGGGGTTTTGAAAAAGTGAGATAACAATGGGAGAAAGAGAGGGAAAAGACTGAGATAAAAAGAAAGAGACAGGCAGAAAGGAAGGAAGGAAGATAGAGAGAAGAAAGCAAAGTTTCTATTTCATTCAACATTTTATACATTTTCACTATTTCAAACTAGAAAAAAATTATAAATTGCCATCACAACCGACCTTTCACAGGGCGAAAAATCACTCATTTGAACCCCAGGGTGACTGAACTTCATGACCTGACCCATTTTCTCGCCGCCCCAGAGGGCGATTCCCTTTTGGTGGTAGGTCAGGAGGTAGGTGCCCTTTGGAGACCACTTCACAAATGTTTCCGTCCACCTCTGACATGCAACGTTGTGATGGTGTAAGTAATAGTGAACAGACCAAAACAAAGCAACATCAATCATTTAAAGGCTAATAAACCAACCTACTAACCAACCAATCACCCAACCAACCTACTAACCAACCAATCACCCAACCAACCAATCACAACCACGCCACTAACTTTCCTCATCTCAAGACACTGGGGCTCGGAGGGTGTATTCAAGTACAGAGCCGTAGTCTCGCCACCTTCGTAAATGACACTGAACTGGTCGTAGCAGTGCGGATTCAAGAGCCAGCTATACAAATTTCCCTACAAATATAATTGCAATTATCATAACAATTGTAATATAATCCCAATTACTATTGGTATTATCTTGAAAAATTAAATTTAAATTATTATTACAAGTTTGTAGTTATAAATATTATTGCACTTTAGGTTTTTTTGCACATTTTCATGCGACACACTGATACTTCTAAGAACAAATCAAGAAAGAATTAATAACAATAATCATTATTATTAATTATTTAATTATTTTTGTCGTTGTTATAATTATAAATATTAATAATTATAAATATTATTATCGCGATCAAAACAACTAACATGATCTTTGTATGGGATGGCCACTGGCTCCTCCCACTTCTCTGACACATTAGTGGTGTACCTATGAGTTAGTTGGGTAGAAATAATTTATGAAAATTTAATATAATTAAAAAATATAATATATTATAATTATGCGACAATGCCAAACGACATCATCTGAGATTTGGATCAAACTAAAACAATCTGAAACAAAAAATTAATACACTTGGAAATAGATATAAAATAGATGAATAAAAAGCTAATGAGTGAAAATTAAAATGATGACAGATGTCAGTAAATAATCACTAACTTCTCTATATCGCTAAACATGTTGACGGCAAAGACGTGCTGTTTATCCAGCTTATAACCGTCAGTTGCAGCAACTGCTTTCAATGCTTCCTGGTGGGTCTGAAACTCGAGGAAGATGAATCTAAAAATTATTCAATATCTTTTGTTAACAAAAAGTAGGTTAATCAATTGCGAATTTTTTTCACACTTTGTGGAGGCCATTTTAAAAAAAATAAATTTTTACAGTGGTATATGCAGGTTATAAAATTTACATTAACTAAAATAAAATAAACGAACTATGACAACATCTATAAAACAAGTTTTTAAATTGATCTTCAGTTCTATAACTAACCCTTTAGTCATACCATTGTCCATAGGATAGTGCTCAGTCACTATTTTACCAAACTTGGTGTATATTTTCTTAATAATGTTTTGTAACTTTTCAAGTCGCTCTGGCCCCACCTGGGGAACATTGTCGACGATGATGAAATTATCAATGCCATCTGTCTCTTTCGGCCGTTGCTTCAATAAATCACCCAGAATTTCTGTGGTTAAAAATGAAATAGATTATCTCTCAATAAACACATTTTTTATATTACAAACATATATTCCCTGTCAATCACAACATTTAAAAAAGACTAAAATTAGTAAAAATTTATATTTTTCGTCCAAATTAATTTATTTGTAATTTTATTTTCAGGTTAGGTAAAACCGGAGAACACGTGAAAGATGGCAAAGCTACAGTATGGTAGCCAAAATCAAGCAATCATACGAACCTTGATCAGAAACTTTTTCAACAAAATCATCCGGATCACTAAAATTAGGCTCCTCGTCGTCCGTTTGCCCATCTTTTATCTTTTCTCGTGTTTTTTCTTTTTGTTGTTTCGTCATTTTCAATCTAACACCGTTTACACCACCGTCAACAGCCGACATTACTGAACTAAAAGAACATTGAAAATAAAGTGGGCGCGATCGTTTTTTTTTCAAACTGAATTCAATTTTAAAAATTTTTTGTTCTACCGTATCGTTTTGTATATTTAATTGAATAACAATTAAAAATAATGAAAATAACGAAAAGTATGATGATATATATAGGATGATAATACTATAGATATAAATCTATCAGCATTATTAATTATTTTCATCAAAAAATGGACAGATATAATCGATTTAATATGCATAAATATGACAAAATTATCAACAATTAGGATATTTAAGTGATTTTTTTAGTAATTTTTTTTATCTTGGATTTTTTCATTTCTCTAATCGTTCTTCTTCTGTTGTTCTTAATAATTCTACTTCTAACTCCTCTACCCTTACTTTTGGGGTACCTCAGGGATCTATCCTGGACCCTCTTCTACTTATTTTATACTCTATACTTCTGAACTACCCCGTATTATAAATAATTTTTCTTTCACTAGTCAATTATATACTGATGATTCTAATATTTATACTTCTTTTCATCAAAAGTTGAAAATTTTTCTGGGAATTGGAGTAAGACGTTTTTACTAAAATCATCATCCCCACAACAACAAAATCATCACCATCACCACCACCACAACAACATCATCATCACAACCACAACAACAACATCATCATCATCATCACAACATAAACAACAACAACGAAACTACGACGACCGCGATGACGTCACAAACTCATTTTTCTCGGACCTGTCAAGCGTCGCCCGTAATTCGAGCAAGGCTTAAATAGGTCACGACCTACTTCTCTACGATTGGTCAGAGGTCACCGCGACGTCACAAGCTTCGAGGCTTCCCATTGGTCGGCAGCTCAGCGGACGGACAAAAATGATTGGTCAGTTGATCGTTTGGCTGGTTGGTCGATTGTTGATTGGTTTAGCTTAATAAACTGAAATCATAATTATTGTCACAACCCTCATGATCGTCATCATCATCATCAACAACAACGTAAGGAAAAATATCTAAGAAAATTCAGCTTCAAGTAGAGAGAAGAAGAGTTGAATGAACGAATGAACGAACGAACGAACGAACGAAGGAACAAACAAACGAACGAAAGAAAGAAATATTATTATTTATTATTATTATTACCAATATTTTTGTTGTTGTTGTTTGTTAGGTGGGTGAAAAAATACAAAAAAG